CCCCCCGCCAATTTGGCTAAGGCTGGCCAGCCAATAAGCTCCAGGGATCCACCTACCTCCACCTCCCCAGCCCTGGGACTACAAGTGTGTGCTAGCATGGCCAGCTTTTTAAATGTGGGTTCTGGGAGTCAACTCAGGTCCTCATGCTTGTATGGCAGGCATTTTAACAAACGACCTATCACCTCAACCCCCAAATGAAAACTTAGTATTTTCCTGTCACCATTCCTCAGCATGAAGTATCAAATTAGTAAATCTTTGGAATGGATTGTGTTTGATTTTAAAAATTGTTGAATTGATGACTTCGAGTTTCATTTAAAAAAAAATCATCAAATAAATTTTAACTTGGATTAGGACAGGATTTTCAACAATTTCTGAAATGACCCTAAACAAACTACCATTTTGTATTCTACATAGCGTTCTCTACATTTATAATAAGAAGATCAAAATATTAATAAATCCTACCAATGTTGAAGATGTACTATATCCCACAATATCAAATGTTCAGCCACATTTTATTTGGTTAGTTTTTTAAAAAATATTATTTTTATGTGTATGAGTGTATTGCTTTCATGTATGTAAGTGTGCCTATTTCATGTAATGCTTATGGAGGTCAAACAAAGACATCAGATCCCCTGGAACTAGAGTTAGGATGGTTGTTAGCCACCATATGGGTGCTGGGAACTGAATCCTGATCCTCTGCAAGAGGAGCCAGCACTTTTAATTGCTGAGCTGTCTCTGCAGCCTCAATTTATTTATTTATTTTGTTGATACTAGGATTGAACTGGGAATTGAACCTAAGGCCTCAGGCAAGCACTCTACCACTGGGATGCACCCCCAGCAATATCTAATTTTTTATGTAAAAAGAACCAAGTACATCCATTTCATTAGTATAAAATTTTTCTTTAGTCTTTAGTAAGTGGTAAAATTCTAACTACCAAAGAATTGCTTTAAAATAAATTTTATGATTTACTAAGAGTAAATGTTTGGTTTGTATGTCAATTTATACCTATATACCCAGGGTTGTGTAAAATTTCTTAGGTAAAAGGGGCTACAAGTGAAAAACAAGTGTAAAAAGCCCTGCTCCAGATAAGCAAAAGTCCTGGGATTCTGAGTTTTGAGCTAATGGGTAGAGAAGAAAAAAACTATGGTACAAAGATATGGACAAAAGGATTTTAAAATTGTTTAAATTTATTTTTTGTGTATGTATATAGTTGTGTGTGCATGTGTATATGTGCATCATGGCATGCAAGTGGAGGTCAGAAGACAACCTGCAGGAGTCAGTTCTTTCCTTCCACCATGTGGGTCCTGGGAACCAAACTCAGTTAATTCAGCTTGGCAGCAGGTGCCTTAATACTAGTCATCTTGCCAGCCCCAGAAAAAGGTGTTTTTTGTTTGTTGGCTGGTTGGTTGGGTTTTTTTGAGAAGAGCAGTAGCAATGGAAACAGAAGAGGTGGGAACAGTGGGAGGACAAATGGGCATCTATAGCTCATCCTTCCTTTCCTCCAGAAAAGGAAAAAAAGACTATACTCAATGGGCAGTACTGGCCAGATCTATTCTGGAGCCCGAATTCCACCCTTGGAACTCCTCCTCCCTGTCGAGCTTGTACCTGCCATGTTCCAGTCTCTTCAGGTAGAACAGTAGGTCCTCTGCAGGTAGAGCACCCCAGCCCCGAGCATGGTACAGACGTAACAGCTCAGACACCTCCATCAGCTGCTTTGGGGAGTGGAGCCCATCTGTACCTGGCAGATGAGTTGATATCATTACCCTAAGGCCCCACTTCCAGCCTTCACCCTACCTCCCTAGGGACCTAAAGTGGTATGAAGCATCTCCTTCCCTCTTTCCTTGGCAAACCCTGGCTTGCTTACCTCTCTCTGGAGAGCCAGTGCTGAGACCACTGCCTTGGTAATGGGATGAGGGAAGCTCATGGGCCCGGAAAAGACTGGACGCCATGGCTAAGGGAACTTTAGTTTTATGGACAGGGGGTGGAAGGCGTGGCACTTGAGGGGCTTCCTCCCAAGACGGGACAGTCTGAGAACCTAGAAAAAGATCCAGGAATGGCAATGGGATAAGTCAACATGCAAAATAGGGCTGGGGATATAGTTCAGTTGGCAGACAGGTAGCTCAGAGGCCCTAGGTTTGGGCCCCAGCACACATAAAATTGAGCATGATGATACACACCTATCACCCCAGTGCTCAGAAAGTAGCGGCAGGATTCAGGAGTTCAAGGTCATCCTTGACTACATAGCAAGTTTAAGACCAGCCTGGTAAGGCATGTAAAGTGCTTCAGTTGTTAATGGGGTCAAGAGCCAAGAAGTTCCACTTCCTAGAAGCTCCTAAAACTTCATCCTAGATCACCAACTCCCACTTCTTCCAGACCCAGCCCCAACCTTCTTCAGAGTTGGAACTCACCAGATTTAGCAGGCAACAGGTCAACAGAGGTGTTCTCATTGCTCTGAGGTACTGTCTCCAGCAGCTGGGGAAATAAGACAGAAAGGCTCCCTAGATGACTGGTAAAGAGAGAAACTGGGGAATGAGGGGAAGAGGCTGCTGAAGAAAGGGCTAAGGTCAGTGGTATAAGTTCCAGAAGAGAATTATACTAGAAATAAACTAAGAGCTGGGACTAAGAGCTCATCCTAAAAAGGCAAGGAAGGGGCTGGGGAGATGGCTCAGTGAGTACAGTGCTCGTTGAACAAGCACAAGGACATAAAGATCCCCAGCATCCATGTAAAAACCAGGCACAGTGGTTCCACTTGTAACCTCAGGGGAGGGGAAGAGAAGACAGGAAGATTCTCTAGCCAATTCGTGAACTCCAAGTTCAGTCAACAAGAGACCTTGTTTCAAAAAAATAAGGTAGAGAACAAAACAAATGACATCAACCTCTGCCACTAACACACACACATGCATGGGCATATACACACATGGGCATACACACATGTATACATAAGTGCACACATACACACCTTATACATTTGCACACATACACTGTACATCTACACAAAGACACACATGCACAAGCACATGCATACACAGACACATGCACACACATACAAGCACACACAAACACTACACACACACAAGCACGCAAGCACAAGCGCACGCGCGCGCACACACACACACACACACACACACACACACACACACACAAACACAAATGCAGGCAAGAAAGCCAACCAGGCACAGTGACAAGTGGGAGGCTGAGGCAGGAGGAAAGAGAATTTGAGGCTCTGCCTCAAAAAAAATAAAGGAAAGGTGGCTGGAGAGATGTTCAGCGATTAAGAACACTGGTTGTTCTTGCAGAAGACTCAGGTTTGAATCCCAGCACCCACATGGCAGCTAACAACTGTCTGTAACTCCAGTCCCAGAGGATCCGACAGCCTCGTCTGACCTCTGCGGGCATTGCACAACACGGGTGCACTTACCTATATGCAGGCAATACATGCGTACACATAAAATAAAAAAAAACAATAAATTTTTTTTAAAGTTTAAAAAAATAAAATAAAAGGAAAGAAGCCAGAGTCCTGGATTGAATTCCAACTCAGAAGAAATGAGGGAAAGAGTAGGAAATGAGGTCATAAAGAATAATAGAGGGTGGTCTGGGAAGAATCTCTCTTACCTGCTGCAAAAAATTCTTGAGGCCTTCAAGATGAGAAGCAGGTGGCAGCCCTGGCTTCAGGGAGCCATCTCCAGCAGATCCAGGGTTCTCCTCAGGGAATGGTCGTTCTGCCCTGTGATCAACATCAAAAGCCTCGAGTGCAGAGAAGGGTCCAGCTATAAAATGAGACAGAAAAGCTGGGTATGGTGGGGCATGCCTTTCATCCCAGTACTCAAGAGGCAGAGGCAGAGGCAGGCAGAGCTTTGTGAATTCAAGGCCAGCTTGGCCTACAAATCAAATTCCAGGTCTGCTAGGGCTATACAGTGAGACTCTGTCTCTCTCTCTGTCTCTCTCTCTCTCTGTGTCTGTGTGTGTGTGTGTGTGTGTGTGTGTGTGTGTGTGTGTATCTTTTTTTTTTTTAAAGAAAAAATATGTTCTGGGGATTGGGGATGTAGTTCAACTGGTAGAGTGCTTGCTTAGCATATATAGTGCTGGGTTTGATCCCCAGTATGACACATAACCATGTACTCCTATAATCCTAGCCCTTGAGGATCAAGGTCATTTTTGGCTATATAGTGAGCTTGAGGCCAGCTTGAGTCTAAAAACAAGGATGTGTTCTCCTGCTTCATCAGAACCTGGCCCAGTGTCTTAAAAGTACTACATACTTTAACATTTATCCATACTTTGTTCTTTTTAAAATTATAATTATTGTTGTATGTGTGTGAGTCTGGACTTGCACATGCATATTGTACATGTGGAGGTCAGAGGACAACTTTCAGTAGTGGGTTCTCTTCTTGCACTGTGGAGTCCAGAGGTCAAAGTCAGATCATCAGGCCTGTGAGGCAAGTCCTTTTACACATTCTGCTAAGCCATCTTACCAGACCTCCCCTCCCCCCCCTTTTTTTGAGTCAGGGTCTCAGGTGGGCCAAGCTGGCCTTAAACTTTTTTTTTTTAATTTGTAGGCCTTTAAGATGGCTCAAGCCAGTAAAGGCACTTGCTACCAAGCCTGATGACCCGAGTTTGATCCCCAGAACCCACATGGTAGAAAGAGCAAATCTACTCCTAGGAGTTGTCCTCTAACCTCTATATGTATGCCATGGTGTGCGTGGACCTACATATACACACAAAATAACGTAAAAAATTAAATTATATGTGTGTAGGTACAAGTAGAGCCTGGGGAAGGCATTGGTCTTTTTAGTCCCTTGAGATGGGGCCTCTCATTGAATCTGGAGCCAGGCTTGAGAACCCCAGTGACCCCACAGAGCTGGGGTTACAGGCAGGATGTGACTTCTGTACCCAGCTTTTTATGAGGGTGCTATGATCTAAACTCAAGTCCTGATCCTTATATAGCAAGTGTCTTTACTAGCTGAGCCATCTCTCTAGCCACGTCACTGCTTTTCTCTTTTGGCAGTACTAGGGATTGAACCTGGGGCCGGGTAGGAGAGGCAACACTCTGTGCTGAGTTACAGCCAGCCTTGGCCCTGGCCTCCTATCTTGCTTCCACCTTCAAAGTACCAGACTTACAGTCACAAACCACCACTCCTGACTCTACTCATTAAAAAAAAAAAAATCTGACTTTTTAAACAGGGTCTATGTATCCTGGGCTGGCCTCCAACACACTATGTAGCCAAGTGTAACCTTGAACTCTGATCCTCTTGCTTCTATCTCCTGAGTGCTGGGATTACAGGTGTGTTCATGCAGCGTTATGGATTGAACCTAGGGCTTCACACACTGTAGGCAAGTGCTCCATTATCAATGAACCACATCCTCCACCCACTCTTCATTTTCGTTCTGGTTTCTTTTATTGAGACAAGGTCTCACTACATAGCCCTGGCTGACCTGGAACTCCCTATGTAGACCAGGCTGGCTTTGAACTCACAGAGATCCACCTACTTCTGCCTCCTGAGTACTGGCCTCCATTCTTTATTCTGAATTCACAGAAGACTGTCATGTTTGAATCACTCATCAAAGTCACAGCTGACTAAACCAGGAGAGACTACCCAAAACGTCAGTCAATCTAATGCACAGGTCCAACCCACCATGTGGCTTCTTTAAGTTTGACCTAAGAAACTCTATTAAGTGCCTGGACTAGAGTCAGTGTCCATGGCTGATACATAGATCACATATATAAGCAATCCCATATATAAGCCCAGGTTGTGAGGATCAAGAACCTTAGGTGAGAGAGAATGCCAGTCTTGTAAGAGAAAGGGGCAAATGTGTAGTGTAGGGTAAACAGTCAGGAGAAATGCAGGCCCAGAGAACAAAGAGAAGGGATGCTGTCACTGTTCCTGACTTCAATTTCTAACTCCAGTTCTCAGTAAGTTCAGCTACACTGCACTTCCACAACATCCTCCTCCCTTTATTAATTGGGTTCCTTATTCCATGATTGGTAAGATATCTGGAAATCCAATGTTCAAGTTCCTGTCAGCAGGAAGCTAGGTAAGGGAGCCCATCATTCATGTAAGCAACACCAACGATTTCTGCCCTTGGTTACCTGTAGGTGGAGCCAGGTCAGGTTTGGGATCCAAGGGCTGGAAGGAGTTCTGACTCTGAAAAGAGGGCCCCAACAGGAGGCTAAGATCTGGGGAGGGGCAACAGAGATCAGGAGGCACTCCAGGCAGATCATCCCTCATTTCTCGGCTTTGCTGCATCACAGGTTTCAGGGCCACAGCCATAGGAGGCATAGTCCAGATCCTCCTCTCCTCCTTCTCCAGCTCTGGAGGCCCAGGGCTAGAGGGCTCAGCAGGAGGAGCCTGGCCAAGAGACAAGAAGAAAGCTCAAGGTCCGGTGGGTTCAATGAGATGAGGCTTGGTACAGACACTTAAATATAATAATAAACTAACCAGAACTTCCTTAAAAGGAGCTTGAATAACATCTATCTAATTTCTATCAAATTTTAAACTGATTATCTTTATCTTAAAATTCTATTTCAAGCTCTCTCCAGAATAATTTGATCACACCCTCAACGCCTTGACTCCCCCAACCTCATTCACCCTCCCATCTCCCTTGCCCGTCTCTCCTCCTAGCCTGGGACCTGTCCCATTCCTTGTCTTGGCACCCCAGACACCAGGGGAACCACCACTGCTTCCTGATCCTTTGCATCCAGACCAACCCAGTTCCTTCTGGGGTCCCTAGGAGCCCTCGAGGCCTGGTCCTGCCCTCACCTCCCTCTGCTTCCCTGGGCTGCACAACCCCCCAGCCTCTTTCCTGGACGACAGGGCTGACCTTTCCTCTTCCTGATCCTTTGTATCCAAACTAACCCAGTTCCTCAGTGCAGTCCCCAGGAGCCCTTGGGGCCTCTTCCCGCCCCCATCTCCCTTTGCATCTCTGGGTGGTACAGCCACGAGCTGCCCTAGAGCAGCATGTTTCCTGGGCCCTGCTCCCAGGCCAGACCAACCCCCAAATTCCTGAGGCCAAATCATTCCTGGAGGGATCCAAACCTTAGCAGAAAGCCTGAAAACATCTGATCCTCACCTGAATTGGGCTTCTGTGGGAACTCTTGAAGACAAAAGCAATCCGGCCACTCCAATATAAAATCAAAAGAGAGAACTGGAAGCTTAGACGAACCA